GTCACACCGGGTGTGTTGCTCAAAAACAGGTCGAAAATCTAAAACACGCATAAATGCGACCGAGTTAGATAAATGCAATTTGTAAGTTAGACATCTAACCTTAAAGTTTTTGATTAAACTGTAAACTTCCACGATATGAAAATGTTATTACCAGATAGAAATGAATAGAGTGGTTCAACTAATATTACCCCAAAACCTCCACGGACAGCAAAATAGTTTTTGTTCATTTCCTTTCGGCTGCTCCCTTCTTCAGGGGTCACCACATCAAACTAAGTCGCACGAAGACTTGGCAACTGTTTTTACGCTGGATGTCCTTCCTGACTCACAGACCACCGAGCTACCACAGCTCTCTGTTTGGAGCAGAGAGCTGCCATCTAGGGTGCCCGGGGGAGCAGATGGTGGGGGTTAAGGGCCTTGCTCAAGGGCCCAGAGTGGGGCAAATGAGGGTGGAGGTAGGTGTGGGTGATTCACGTATCCCACCCACGTTTTTGATGTTGGTACGGGAGTTGAACCAGTGTTCTTCTGATCACAGGCCCACCCTCTCCAACCTCTGCACCACCACTCCCCCACAGACAGCCAAATAGTGTGTCAGAAATCTCTCTTCAAGCAATAACCTACAATTATTGCTTTAAAACATAAAAAATCATCTAACAGGCATGTGCAGTCATCAGCAGGGCATGGTCAAGGTTCATCATTCGAGATCAGAAATCTCAACGAGTCTTTTCTGTTTGCAGGCTGAGCCTGATAGTCATTTCCTGGTATTGTTTGACTGTATTCAAGCTTTACAGGTGCTGCTGTGTGGAGGAGAAATGAGGAAAGGTTTGGGTGGGGAAAACATTTCAGAGGAAAAGGAGGTGGGTGGGAGGCTTTGACGTGGAGTGGGAACAGAGGTCAACAAGAGACTAAAGAGACCTAGGTTTGTGTTATAGTTACAAATGGGTATGAATCTCAAGCCCCCAGTATACTGCCGCGTACATCCATACGCAGGGGTACGCACGTACGTACGCAGAGGTACGAGCGTACCCCCCAGGGCATGTCCGTGCAAAGCTCACATTTTTATGACCGCATACACGTAGTCGCACAATAAACTTCCCAGCGACGGACTGTTTTGTATGCGACACCAATGTATTAAATTCCCCTTCTTCATCCCTGATCTGGCCTTTTCTTTTGATTTTTTGCCAAGAGGCAGTGATCTCTTCCTCCTCCGTTGATGCCATGACTGAAATGGTGAGAAATGGAGGAATTTGTCACGAGCAAATTAAACTCAGATCCAGCGTGGCTGCGGGAGGGTCTGGAGATTTCCTGGTGGGCTGGTCTGATGTGTGGGCTGTAGAGCCAGCGCTCTGTTTTTTTAATTTTTTAGATCTTTTTATTAACAACATATAAACACAGAACACCGCGGAGGCGAGGCTGCCAGCGCTCGCTTTATTTCCCCTTTTTCCGACCTGTCAATCAATCCAGTAGGCGTGTCAGTAAATGACCAATCCGCGACCTCAATTTGTCCCGAAGGTAAACGCCCCTTGTCTGTGAAGCTGCTCTGCAGCTGCTCAGGGTGTACGCTGGAGTATCATGTCTGAACCCTCTGCGTACAGTACACGTGTACGTACGCGTGAACGGATATACGCGGCAGTATACTGGAGCCTTAAGTTGACATCAACTGACACACCGCAAAGGATTGTGGGTATTTAGCCAACGCAGATGATTTGGATGCAGTTGCAAGAAGCTGACGCCGAGCCATGGGAGATGATTTTGATTGCCAACTGGTTGAAGTTGGCACACATCGAGAAGTGTCGCAAAAAAACAACCTTATATTTGCACAAGTACTTCATTGAGATTTAGACATAAAGAAGCACACAGTCTAGTGTATCCCTACCATTATTCAAGGCAGGCACCCTGACCCCACCTACCAAATCACTCCTCCCACCTCCATCTCCACCACTTCTGGATGGGGAGATTTTAGCAGCTCAGTTCAGACTCCAAGACGCGAGCAATACAAACGTAGCCCCCCACCCCCCCAGACCAGTCGAGAACTGAATGCACCAACGTAGCGCTAAGCTAACAAATCCCTCCGTGCATTACTGAGACGCAACACTGCTTCTCTCCGACCCCCACCACTGCGACAATGTGCTATGGCACGAGTGCCCTCCCAAGGCAAGTAACCTAGGGGAAACATACTGTGTTCACATCTTTCAATCTACCGTAACTTAGCATTTGTACTTTGGATTCTACAAAGAAATTTCTCGGCTAAGAAAATATCCATGTGAACCAATAGTAAAAAAACAATAAGAAAGGTGCATTCCTTGAAGGAAGCTTTGCACGCCAAACATTTAAACAAATATCTTGTGCAATCTGTTAACACAGAGTATGTGTTGAGGATGACAAGACAATCCCCGCAGACTTTAGCTCATTGTCTGTAAAACTGACAGAGTTGGTCATTTTTCTGATTGCTTAAGTTGATCTGATGTGGTGGCCCTCTTGAGTAGGGTTGTAAATCAGCCATCTACTCATTACTGAGAATTTTGTTGAAATCCATCCAGTAGTTCGTGAGCTATTTTGATAATAGGCACACAGTCAATTAATTACATGACCTCATGTTGCAATAAACTGTGGGCGATTTAGGGCTGTAAAAAGAAGGATAAAACACACAAAGCAGTGCATTCAAGTGCACCAATCAAGAATGAGCATTTTCTTGTGTTTATAACCTCATACCATTTGTATCTAGTAGCAGGATGATCTGAGATAAAGAGATTACCAAACAACAAAGACAGTCGCATTAAAAACTTCATAACAGCAAACAACTAAAGGTTGCAATGCAACAAACGATGTCACACGGCCATTAAATCCCACCAAACATCCACAGACTTGTTTAGACAGCAACATCACGAGAACTGAACGTCCTTACATCCCAGCTCCTTGTTCATATTATAAAAATGTCTGTATTTAATTTGTCTAGCCCATAGTACAATACTATCCCGAGGGGCAAACTTGTGTACGGACATTACTGACACACAAATGATGGAATGCAATAATCTGTGCAGGGGGGTGGGAGCTCCCCAGCCACACTAAAACTGGCAATAAGTGAGGAGAACTGGCCCCCAGAGGAATGATTTCACAATGCAATGTCATGACTTGATTTAACTAAATGACTCGACGCAACAACAGGAAGTGACGCATGCCCGTCACCCGGTGTGACTTTTTAAGGCAAGACGACGACAAGAGCACAACTTGAAAACATCAGAAATATGAACCTAATAAGTTATACAAGCATATTTTAGAGGTTAACTTGTACATTTTGTGTGCAACTACCATGTCAGGGTATCAAAGCATCAACTCTTTCTGTGATTTTACAGCTTCTTGGCAGAACACAGCTGACCTGAAATGAATGGTTCTGATTAAACTCGAGAACAACGCAGCGCTCTGCTCACCCCGTAAAGAAGAGCTGCAGGTTTGAGGTAAATTTTAAAGACTTAAACCCGTTTGGATGCTTGGTCACCTTAACGCAGAGTTCACGCATTTTTCTGTGTCCTCCTTTTCGTTCAAATATTAAGCCTCACCACGTGCAATAGCCATACATACACACGGGGAGTGAAAGTGTTGGCAAACACGAATGGCGTGCCAACAAACATTAATTGTACTGACAAAGCACAACCCTTATTAGATGGGACATGACACGGCATGATGAAACCTGATGAGAATGTGACGGATATATGGTGAGCTGTAAATAGTGTGTGTGATCCCTTTTATTCAAATTAGGTTAATTGAAAAACAACACACAAGCTCCATCACTCAGCACTGGTAGAACCATCTAAAGGCCCTAAGTTTGAGAGTTTATAAGTCAGATATGGGAAACTGTGGTTTGTGTTAATGGGTAACAAAATCTAAATGTGCTTGACCCGATACCAAGCCCAACAATTTTACGCCACAATAAACTTGTGCTGCCAAGTTGATCATTTATTATATTAAGGTGCACTGCAATTAGATCACAACTGTTGCCTTTTATCCATGCTAATCTCACCGCCTACAAATCCTAGTCCATTAATGAAACTCATTGATACTGCCCACCACAAAGCCCAAGCTTTTTCTGTAAATTAATCTTCATCTTAACTTTATGTTTTGTACAAAAGGTTTCTGGTGCTGCACACACCTCCACCTGGGAACACTGAAATACCACATACTTGTTGGGGTTTTTTGCAGAAGAGGCAAGAGATCTCCAAATAGACAAAGTTAAAATGAAAGCTTTATAGATAACATAATTGGAAAATTGTGTTTGTAGTGCTAAAGCATTAATGTACAGCCTATAAAAATGTTGACATCCTGGTCATCTTCTTTATATCCTAAGAACAGCACTGATTGAGCTCGTCTGTAATGAAGTCCCAGCCAACAGGCATGTCTGGCTCATACAGGGAGAAGCTGTCATTTTAGTCTTCTGTCAGCAGGACTATAAAGTAAGACTAAATAAAGATGCAGATAACCCGGTTTAGTGAAGTTGGAGCTCGGGTTAAGTCGGTAAAGCTTTGACGTGACGCCGCCAGTCAGACATGATGTTACCGACCGCACACCGCGACAGAACAAAACGGTTCCACCGCAAACTAAAGCAAACACGACCTCAACCGAGCCGGTGTTCAAACCGACACATTTCGTCTTTGTTCCCCGTCCACCTGAGCTCAAACTGCGGGCCCGGCCTTTCCAACTCATTCAAGCGACTCACTTCCTGTCTCCACCGTTAAGTTTTTTTTTAGCTCGGTTGCTACTTCGCTACGTTAGACCGCTTAAACTAGCCCGCGCCTTACACTATAAACCCGAGATATATGTATTTGACTGCGGTTTAGTTGCACAAATAACGACCCGAGCTAAATCTGTGACGGAGGTCCAACTCCACCCAGCTCGGTTTGAAGTTGCAGCAGTCAACCGTGCTTCCTGGTTCGCTGCACTTGCTGCTGAATGGGCTGTAAAAGTGTGCTCGGCTAGCACAAAGTGCTAGCTGGACGTGCTAACGTTACCTGCGTTTGGCTGCTGGTCGCCTTTCAGACAGATATCAACAACCGGAGGGCACAGTCAGCGTCGCCGTGAGTCAAACTTCTTCTCCCGTCGAAAGCAGCTTCGCAGAGAGTTCAGACTAAACTACACCGCTCGCTTCCTCCCTCTTCTCAGTCAGTCACTCTCTTTTTTTTTCCTCTTCCTTCTAGCCCTCCCTCTTCCACTGGCTCGTCTTAATTTCACTCGTGTACCGCCCCAAGCTGAAGCCGGGGTGCGGTTCAGGACGGGGCGGATACTAGCCTGCGTGTAGCTGCCCCGCTGACCAATCATTGCCGCGCTTTTATAAACCACACACTTTGGACCAATCACGCTCCGAGGAAGGCGGGCAGAGGCAGATGATTGACAGCAGCATTGCAAGGCGAACAGCACAGGGAAAAAGCTGAAAACTGAAGAGTTGAGAGGCGGGTGGAGAGGGGATGCCGATTAACTAGAGTTTAATGAGCGTGGTATGTGCATGCTAAGGATTTTTATGACCATATAAGTACCAGTCAGTCCCAGGGTCTCCCTTCAAGGTTCAGTTTGACCACTGCTGGCTGTGAAAAAAAACAGTAGCAGTGAAGTTTCCAGCTGTTTTGTACCATTTCTTCTGTGAGGCTGCCAAAGATCAGACTGATCCCACGCATAGTGCTTAAGCCTGAGCTATTACATACTGCTGTTCTGATCAGTAGAGTGTTTACATGGAGTCAGGCTGTCATCAGAGGGTCAAATCAGTATTTTCTTTAACTTGAGTAAAATCTCTTGCAGTGGTTTTAACCATGTCTGCTCCAATAAACAGTGTACAGAGTAGTAACGTGTGTTTATCCCTTAGTGGGTAAATTCAAACGCAGGACAGATAAAGAATTATTCTATTCTATGCACATTCATAGGTGGTATAATACCTCTTTTTGATTTAAGGGGGAGGTAGCTTTATGGTTTATAGCTGGGGGTCAAAGGTCACCAGACGATGAGCCGGTATCTGTTCTGGAGAAACCGCTCATGACCGTGAAACGTGTCACAGTTCGAGTTAAACAAACAGAGATGATATCTCTGTAATAAAAATGAACTCATCCCACCCTATTTGCCTTTTGATAATAAAATGAGGGAAAAGTTATGAACAATTATTATCTTACCTGTTGCAGATAGCTCTTTAGATTGTCCCAGAAAAACTGAGTTATTTGCCACCTTTAGCTCATCAGTATAGTTCAGAAGTGCTACTGCTGTGGCTATTTGCCCTTGCAAATAACCATAAGATGGCATGTGAATAATCATGTAACGCAAAATTGATGATGGTGTAAAGATTTAGAGAATAATATCTGCATGGACAATTTATAAGAATGTTTAAGCTGTTTCAAAATGACAGAAATCCACTTTGGTTTCAGCTGCCTTCAAACTCACCTGTAGCTTATCAAACCTGTCAGACTCAAACTATTTCTCCAGACTGAATTCAATCAAATAGCTGTTTACAACAGGTAAGATATTAACAGTTCATAATTTTTCTCACCAAACCCAACTTCAAAATGGCTAAACAAGGTGGACAAGCTGACACACCTCCATAGCTTTTGAATATTACAATAATCCAGAGTGGGATGAATTCCACAACTCGATGTTTTTGTGCAGCACAGCTATGTGATGAACTGTGAACAGTGAAACCAGTGAGAGTACGTTCGTGACCAGACTTGTCAACAATGCCTGAGAACCGCTGCAGGTGATGATCTAACTGATGTAACGGGGAAAACTGTCCAAATCAATCCAGACACTTCTTTTCTTTTGCTCTACCTAAAGGAATGTCTCGTTGTGGAAGATAATTAACAGCAATAAGTGAGAGTGAGAGAGCTGAAATTGATTTCTAAGAGATATCGTGAAAGGGGGCGGCACGGTGGTTCAGATAGTAGAGCTGCCGTCTCTCAACGAGAAGGTCACCAGATAGAATCCCAGCTGGAGGCCTTTCTGGGTGGAGTTTGCATGTTCTCTCCGTGCATGTGTGGGTTTTCTCCAGGTACTCCAGTTTCCTCTCACAGACCAAAAACATGCATGTTAGACTGATTGGTAACTCTAAATTGTCTCTGGCTGTGAATGAGAGAGTGAATGGTTGTCTTGTTTGTCTCTATGTGTCCATGTGATGGACTAGAGACCTGTCCAGGGTGTCCCCTGACTATCACACAGTGACTGTTAAGAATGGGCAGCAGTGACCCCCGTGACCCGAAAAGGAAGAAGTGGGTAAAGATGGATGGATGGATATTTTGAATGGCAGATAAAAAGTATTTTGTCTGTTGTGAAAAAGGAGAGGTGATGTTAGAAACTGATGATGTAATCATAAAAGCTTTGCAGCGACTGTGAGACAAAGTTCACAAGGAAGAGAGGAGCGTTTCAGTATGAACCTGATTTCTCCATTTGGGCTTCAGATTAGACGTTTGCTGATTAGCAATAATGGCACAGAGCCAACAAGCATGTCTAAACCAGCAGGAAGGCATCAGCAATGGAGCATTAATATTTTTCTTTTTTCTGAGCGAAGGCTGAAAATCTGTGTTTTTGAAAATCAGCAACACAAAATATTTCAGTGTAGCATCTACCAGGTTTTTTTATTTGTATTTTTTACAAAAACAAATAAATAAAACAATTCAAAAAAATTTAAAAAACACAAGTTTAGAGTTTTGTAACACTTTTACTCAATGCGTCATGAAACTCCTAAAAGACAAATGTGCAAAAGAAAAGATGAGGCTGGAATAACTTAATAAAAGTAACATGACTATAGATTTTATCAACATGATAACCTGTTTCACTAAACAATAACATGTTTTGAAAGCAATAAAAAGAGCATCTGAAATAGGCTCAAACAAAAAAGTTATAATCTACTTACTAAAACACACAGAAATATGTAAAGTAAATGAACAAATGTAAACTAAAGACGATGCTGAATGACTGCTGAAATTTGCTGAAGATGCTGAAAAAAGTTGTTCTAATGAGACATAGCACTAGGAAGTCCATTTATTCTTTAATTCCTAGGGGGAAATTGACAGGGTGCACAGAAACTAAAGTGCTATTACTGTGGGGATTCTTCCTGAGTGTCAGTGTGGCACTAATAACCACCAGATACTGCCCATGAGCTCCTGGGTACTTAAGGCTGTGTGGAACCACAATTCAACGCTGGAACGTTGTTACCCCAACGATCCAGAGCTTTAGAGAAAGAGATTCTTATGAGAGTAAACATAACCTTGTATTTTTCTTTGTGGTAGCTCTAAAGCTCTAGTCCTTGGTCCTTGGGCCTCCTCCTTCTTCTTTAGGGGCGGCTGTGGATGAGTGGTTAGAGCAGTCGTCCTCCAATGCAAGAGTTAGGGGTTCAATTCCACGAACAGTCACATGCCAAGTGTCCCTGGGCAAGACACTGAACCCCTCATTGCCTCCGATGTGTGTCCCATCAGTGCATGAATGTGATAAAGCTCTGATTAGTCTTTGTATAGATCTAGTAGAGTGATGTATGAATGGGTAAATGAGGACACAGATTGTGTTGTAAAGAGCTGTGAGTGTCTTAATAAGATAGAAAGATGCAGTATAAGTACAGTGCATTTACCATTCTGTTGGGTGTCTGGTCTCCTTGTGCCTCCCAGTGTTTACCGTAAATCAGGAACCCTCATGGATTTCCATCCTGGAACCTTCATCTGCAAACTCTAACCAAACCACTAAATGTCAAACACGCAGCCTCTTCACCCACTTACCTGTCCACCGTCTTCTGGATCCTGGAACTATGCACCCTACTCTACGAACCTGCAAACAACATCGTAAGACACATTATCTAAGCTCTAATAAATCAGCATTCATGCTAAAGGACAATACTCACCTCCTCATGTCTCCAGATCCTCTCAGATCCCCTGATGACCTACCCTTTGTAAATACCGTAAATCCTTTTTCTTTTACTTGAGGAAAACCAACTCCTCTTGGTTTACAAATGATAGCTATGACAATTGCTCCTGCTACAGTTTAGCCTCACCAACACAACAAAATCCTGTGCAAAAACTACTAATAATTGATGATGTAAAGGTTTAAGTAGGGGTGTTTGTGTAAACCACTGAGGGCATTCAAATAGCTATCTACAACAGGTAAGATGTTAACTGTCCATCATTTCCCCACCTCTTTGATGAGCTGAATAAAACTGACATAACCTGAAATTTCTCTGGTCCATATTGTTAACAAATACTAAATGCTCATCAGCTTCAGGCACATGAAACATTTAAGAACAGCTTTTTAAAACCAACCCGAGGTGAAAATCACTGCAAGACGAAACACCTCTTGATGGCCGCCTGTGGTTTTAAATTAAATGCCAGTTTCAGTGAAAACATGTACGAGTCTTGGATTTAAAGGAACGAGTCGCGCCAGAAGTTGGGCTCAGACAAACAAAAGCTTGACCCTCCGTTTTGCTTTGTCTTCTCGTTGCCAGATAACAAACAGGAAAAACAAGATCTGACACAAACCGTGCAATATCCACACATTGAGCTCAACACAATAACAGACACAAAGTGGCTGCTGTTTACCCTCAGGAGTTGCCTTAAATTACAGGGAATTCGCTGGCAAATTCCATGGATTCCACTTTCAGTACAAAGAGTGAATCCTGCTCGCTGAGGGTGTCGGTAACAGAGGAATGTGTCCGAGTGTTTTCCTATACATTCAGCCGCTCCATGTATGGAGCCAAGCTGATGACTTCAGAGTGCCTGCCTGGAAAAATCAATAACCCCTGCTTCCTGCCCCGGAATGGGCAAGAAGCAGACACAATATCAGCCGAAGGGTCAAAGGTTACTTGTTTTGTGAGTGGGACCAAATGCTTAAAAAAAGATCAAGAAAACAGGGTGGGAAATATCAAGTATTGAAGACAATCTGTCAAAATAACGTTTGCAAAGTATTTCACTGAAAAGTGACTAAACAAACAAGCGTGCACCAGAAAGAGGCGCGGGGTTAAACGAAGGCATGAATGACCAAATATGGAGTCTTCTGATGTCACTACGCCCCTCCCTCCTCTTCCTGTCTGCTTCTTTCTTTTCCTCCTTAGGTTGGTTATAACAGCAGCAGGGTGTGTCTGTAATTCAGGGTGTGTAAAGTCGTTATATCATGCACTCAGAAAGAAAGGAACCCATTCAGTGACGAGCACGCTGCACTAAATCACCCGCCACCTTCGCTGCTTGAGTTTTCTGTGTGTGTGTTCATGCATGACTGTTT